ATTTAGAAATAATGAGAGATTGGGAAATATTGCTCTGAATTAACTTGGATACAATTGTATTCATGTATAAGTATATGTACATACATACTTATGTGTACATTTGTGTAAATTAATTAAGCGCCAATAGTTTAATATATAACTATTGCTTAATATATAGAAAGTGAGCATACCTACCCATGGAATTTATATTTTCTCTTCGAATTCTTATTGAAAATTTCAATTAATATTAATTTTTTCACTCGGATTTACAGACTTTTATAAAGGGGTTACATGGGTTTAAAAAAATCGATTTTTTTATTGTTTTATTAAATTCTAGACCACTAGAATATTATCCTAAATTTTCAAGTTGATCCGAGTTATAGTTTCGGAGATACAGCCTTGAGATCTTGTGCGCTCGAGGCTAGCTAGGCTCTCGAAACGGTGTTTAGAAGTTGATTAATTCTTAAAGACTTGGACGAAGGATTTTTTCCGATTAAAACTATTAGAAAAACAATGTCGCGAAATTTTAATTTTTTTTGTACATAAATGTCTGCCAAAAATCCAATTTTTTTTTCTTCGTCCAAGTTCAAAGTTAAGCTTTTAACTAAAACACGTATTTTCACTTTCGGTGATTGCGTAAGGAATTATCCTGCCAACACGTCGGGGGAAGCAGAGGAAGAGGAAGGCMTCCAATCCATTGGAAAGACCAGTGGAGAAGGACCTGGCTATACTTGGAATCTTTAGTTGGCGCCTKTTATAAACTCGACTATAACCACGTAAGGGGTGTCTGACCAATAAAGAAGAAGAAGATAGTTACTTGATCTAAAGAAATTCTTCGGAGAGTACACCGTTGCCTTGGACAAAAACCGATACCAAATTTGCTGAAGGTATCTCGTAAAATGAAAAAGGTTTCCATACAAGCACTTCATTGCGATAGTTAAGTTTGTATGATGACTTTATACTATAATGGTCCRATATCGGCATTCTGACAAAGGCACAGCTTYTTGGTGAGAAAATGAAGGGTTAAAATTTTGAAATCGATATCTCAAAAACTGATTCATATACAGACGGTCAAASGGATGGACAGTCSGAMAAACTCCAAAGATATATGCAAATTATATTGCATATGCTAAATCGATGAGGAAAACATAAAACACACCACCAAAAAGAACAAAAAACAGAAAAAAAACATTTAACTTCACATTCTGATGGCGCGTTCTCTTTACCCGTGATTGTTCAATCAAACAATGATGGAAATGAAAGAGAAAATCAGAAAACAATAAAGTAGTTGCAAGTCAATAAAAAAAAAAAAAAAAAAAATTAAAATTAATTAGGCTTGATGAAGGTCTGTTAATCTGGTGACGCGCAGTGGATCTGCAAACACATATGTATGAAAGTTAACACTCGGTCAATAAAATAGTAGTAGTATTAAAACACACGACAAGAGGGGGAACATCAAAGCGCTTGCGGGTACGTAGGCAGAGACGTGTGAGGATTTCTGAATGCTCAGATATGTAAACTTTTAAAAATCCAAATTATCTGMGTCTGATAGCAACTTTCGCGTCCACAAACCTTCCGTCGATATCTATTAACACAATATGCAAAAAGGCATTAGGTGTCATAGTTAGAGTGGTGCTTTCAGGACCCTCCACCATACAAAGGCCTTAAACGGCTTAGAATGGTTCTTCTGCAACAGTATAAGGTAATGGTTGTTTTCTTTGCTCTCTCCCCGATCTCAGGTTTTCATGAAGGCTTCCTATCTGGGACGAGCCCCAAATACTTCTTTGTATCTGCAGATTGCAAACGGATCTTTCCCACGGGGGTGTCTCTAGGATCTTGTATTTCCTAGTAAATAAAACGATATCCGTTTTATTTGGGTTAAAGGCGATGCAACATCCGGTAGCTAATTGCTTACGCCGTTGAGGTAACTTTGCGTCAAYTCGTAAGTGCTACATCGCCTGCATAGGCAATCACCCGGGGTTGGTTGCTCTTCCTCACATTTTGGCGAGCACGTACGCTAACCCTATTCATCCATACATTCATTCAGACTCCTGCAAATAAGATGTTTGAGGCCCCAAAACGGTCGAGAGCTGCTACAACTATATCCGGCAAAAAGTTATTGAAATCTTCCTCAATATTTAGGAAGGTCCTTACAGCGAATTTTTAAAGCCTTATGGCTTCCTCACTACATTACACTCAGAACCCGATGAAAAGAGCTACCTGGGTGCAAAACTGCAAAAGTCATATTTAAAACGGTAGATCGGAAATACAYAAAATTCCTATTGACACTCGATAGAAGAGACTGTAGGAACATTATCGGAATACTAACTAGATATGTGTAGAGCAAGGCACCARGGAAACAATTAAGTATCTCTTGTTTACTTGTCCCCCATTGTCAAGACTACGCTGTAAGCATCTGGGGTCCCCACTGTACGATGCACTGGAAGAGGTATCGATAGTGCGGCTATAGATTCTGTCAAGCGAAGGTATTCTAAAGGTATCCTCCTCATTGACTTAGAAACTCAACTCCATCAGGTATTGCAAGAGACCAAAACTGGTCTGTGCGTGGCTCATGAGGCTTAACAGACTAACCTAGCGTAATCAACGACTTCCTCAACTCGATAGTGTGCAGGACAGTATTCAATTATCTACCCTTAAAATGAGCTTTTTCCGCACTATTATACGAGTACCGTTCCAACAGTCAATTTTTGTAAGCTCAATAAGTTGAAATATTGAATATTCAAATAATATTTTTTATAAATATTTCATTTCACTGTTCAAAGTGTTTAAGCTAAGACTGATATGGAATTGATGAACGATTGCTTTATTTTTGTTTATAAGCAAATGTCCTTGTACAAAAGTTTATTATTAAATAAACAGATCTGAACGTTATCAGTAAAAAGTCTGCTTATTTTGGGTTTTCCCACACACTAGTATTCATATTGAAGAGGTGGTTCAAAAACACGTCTTTTTGCAAAATTTTATTGAGGTTTTGACTGTTATAATTCGATTTGTACTCTTAACTAAGAGTGATGATACACCTTTTCTTCCTTTATTCTAATAGTAAAAGTGGGATTTAACGGTTAAAAGGGATATCATTTGGCACAAAGAATATCGSTCATTGCACAATTTTAAATCACAAGTGGTTCACTTTTAAGATAACGATGGAAGCAAATACTGTTTGGACCACCCCGCCCATGAATATGCACTTAAGTATTTATATAAACGATCGGTCAAAGCAAATCGTTCAGTTTTGTTTTTCAGAGCATTGAAGCCGGACGTTTTCGAAGTTTTCAATTCCAATATTATACTTTAACCTTCCCCAAAATGAAGTTAATATTAACATTTATTTTCGGTTGTACTATAATGACAATGGTTTCGACRCGACCGACGTTGGATAAAATTGCTGACGCCTTATTGAATGTATTGGATCCGTATACGAATTATCCATCAGGTTACCCCAATCATCAAGACAGTTACCATCTGCATCATCATGATCATCACTATTATGGCGGTGGTGCTCAACCAAACGGTTATTATCAAAATCAGAATGTTCCGTATGTCGAGCAAAATTCTTATCCATCGCAAGGACCATACCCACATGGACCTTACCCACAAGGATACCGCCCTCAACGTCCTTATTACGATCATAGAGGTTAYCCAAATACTGCTCCTGATGTTTCGGTGGAAATTAATGGTGGTTATCACCCTAAAGGATATCGCCATTATGGTTACTAATGAAAATTAAAATATGCTTGCCGTTACCCTCTTATAAGTGTGTGTATATTAATTTAAGTCTGTGTTAATAGTGATAAATAAATAATTTTTAGATTTAATGGATATATTTATAATATTAATACCAAACAGTTGTTGTAAAGGACTTCATGTTTATTAAGTGCTATTTGTGTTGTTAAACTTAATGTTACGTAGCAAATTGAAGCTAACGGGATATAAGCCCCCMCTTAGCGGTCAGTCGATGCTTCAAGAACCGTTTTGTTGTTTTTGTATGATTTTTGTTGAAAGATATCCGATTTCAACGAGTGGTTCTGCAAGTTCTGTGAAAGAATTTAACTCTCTGGGGTAAGGCTCTTGCTAAATACCCTAGATCGGTGGAAATGATATCGCAGTCCAACCTAAAAGTATACTTCTAATGATCTAAGTAAAGCAAGGAAAAACTTGCGCCTGAACAATGTTTACAAATCGTTCATTCGGCGACGTTTCCAGCAACTCCATCTGACATATGGAAAGACTTGGCGCATTTTACGTCGAGATCTTAAATTGAAAGCGTATAAAATACAGCTGGTGCAAGAGCTTAAGTTGCTCGACCTTCCCAAGTGACATTGCTTCGCCCTATGTTCTCTTGAAATGTTCCAAGATGATTCGACGTTTTCGAGCCAAATTTTGTTCAGCGTTGAGGCCCATTTCTGGGTCAATGATTTGTAACCGTCAATGGAGACCGTTAWTGCGCCATGATGAGCGACTATTTGAGACTTGYAATAAAAGCTCGTGATCTCGGCAACATTTGGTTTCAACAAGACGGTGTCACTTTCCGAACATCGCATCAATCAATGTATTTATTGAGAGCAGTTAATTTAACGTTTTGTGCCGGTGGATTGTTTACGAAGATCGTGTGATATCACACCGTTTCCTGTAGGGATAAGTAAAGTCTAAAGTCTATGCGGACAATCCTGCTTCGATTCAGGCCTTGGACCAAAAGGCGTAGCCGCGGGAAACATTTGAAAGAGATAATCTTCAAAAATAAATGGCAAAGAGTTCTTTCGAATGATAATAAATATTCCTATTAAATATGAATTTTCCGTATTTTTCTTTAWAAAGTAGGGAACTTCGAAATGGATCACGCTTTAAAACCGGCTTTTCCTTACTACCTAATCAGCTGTGACTATGATAATCCTATCCTAACCGATCCTATTATGACTATAAGTTTGGTCTACGAGTTCATCGTGAGTTTCACGTCACGTAAATAAATGTAAAGGGTACCAAATTTTATCATTTGCTTTAATTATTGAGTATTATATTTAAGTATAAAATTTTTGATAATGTCTTTATTTCTTATACTTATAACGTATAACTAACGTCTGATGTCTAGCATGTGCTGTGAGCTCGGAGTGCTTTGTGTGAGATATATCGAATCTGGAAATATGACTGCTTTATTTTGAATAAGTCGACTTAATTCCGCGCTMATTTTTGTGACTGTGCTTGGTGGTGTCGATGAGATAAGCACAGGCTTTTGAACATGCATTAAATTAACGGAATTCTGCGAAGAAGTTTCAATTTGTGGCTGCATAAGATGTGTTGCTGGATGTTGTGTTGACTGCGACTGGCCTGAAAGATTTGGCATTTTAGTATTTTGCAGAAACGGATTTGACATGTATGGATTCTGAGGAGTGGGCGTCGGAGCCATAGTATTTTGTGTTGATTGATTATTTAAATAAGGTTGTGAATTCCCATTAGTTTGCGAATTTGCTAAAAATGGGTTTTGCATAAACTCATTTTGAGACATGTGCTTATTGAGAAATGGGTTGTTGGGAATATCTCTTCTAAATTGACTTCTATTATATTTGCTTGATGATTGTGCTTTGATTGTGGTTGGTACCGGATTTTCAATGATCTCTGTTAGTAAATTGTTGTTGGGTTTACAATTTTGTGGATTAAGTACGTGATTTTGTGGCTGTGTAACATAAGCCGGCGTTATAGATGTGGTTGTTGGTATATGCATTGCGTCCACTCTTACTGCTGGTCTGTACATCGATACTGTATTACTGGGCTTGTGAGTGTCTCCATTATTATAAACAATCTCTAGATAAGAGTTATGATGTTTAAAATTGCCGTTATTGCGATTATTATKAAGCATAATGCCAATTTGGCCACTATGTTCTTGTAATATTTTGTTTTTTTCATGCTTCATATTTTTCCCATTGAAACTATTGTTATTATCGTACAAATTATTGTTGCTATTGTAGTGTCCATTCATATTCAGTTCTCTTGAATTGTGAGCTTGCTGATTGCCTCGTGGCTTTTGCAAACTATTAGCTTGGGAATGTTGCTGATAATTTTGATTATGTGGAAGGCCATAGAGTTGTTGAGATGATATGATTCTGCCTTGAAGTGTGTGGYCAAAGATTATTATTTCGTCGGCGTTCGTAAAGTCATCGGCTTGGCTGCGCACAATAAGTTGTGGTACTGCCGCACGGCGATAACGTCTTTGAGCACCATCAGTTCTTTTGGCATGCTCTACAATTGGTTCTATTAAACCGTTACTGCAGTAATTTTGCATAAGCACAAAAAGCAAAAATATTAAATATTGAAATAACATTTTTTATAAATTTTTCATTTCACTATTAAACGCGAGATGCTGTGCATGCATCTACGCTCCGTATCGAACTGTTCGACTGATATGGAGTCGATGAGTGAGTGCTAAGAATTGCGAATTATGAAATCTTTGATATTTTTTGTTTACAAAATCAACACTATCATAATAAGTCACCGGCCAAAAGAGACATTTCAGCCTGTCACTCAAAACCGGTTGCAATATATTTTCACATTAATATACCTTCAAGATAAGGGCAAAGCTATAACAAACTATGTTTGTCTATACATATTTAYATAAAAATTTTAGTAAAAATGTTCAAAAGCTTCACAAAACTTTACTACCATACAGTTCTTCTTTGGAAAATGTTATTTATGTAATGGCATAGTTTGGGAAAGCAGCTTATTTCCTTATTTATAAGTGAAACATTTACTTCTCTACCACGAGTGTATGGCAYGTATGAATTCATTTGATTTAAAAATCCGAGATGAATGTGTCCGTGGTTAGAGTTGAGTCTCAGAAATTATACACATCCATATATTGATTCTGAGAGGAATAATTCTTTTTATACTCTCACTGCTTGTGGTGTGAGCGTGTAATGGCTTCGTTCATTTAACGGTTGATTGAGCACTTTAATAGTATAATCGATATAATAAATATTTACATATCGTCACCTGAAATGCAAAATAAGGTATCATCAAAAAATTCGAAATTGTCTTATTGATTACGCTTCACTACTTCAAATTGCATACATAATCTTACATATGTTCAGTATTTTGAGGTTCTGCGGTCAGATATAAATCAGTTTTAACCAATATTAAAATTTTGTTTCTTTCATGTTCCATKYTATTTCGTGTTTCATTCATGCCACTGTAAATTTCCGAAAATKTTGTTACGTTATTTTGCATTTCAGGTGACGATATGTAGCAATCTGTTYATGCATGCTTTTAACTTCACTTAAAAGTCGTGATTTCTTAATGATGACATAAACTGCTATATAGGTAATARGCGGGCTTGACGTTCCGTTTTCTCTCAGAAGTTTAAAATGAACTAAATGACACATTCCACAAAACTACTCAATAACAGGAAAAACCCTGCTTAATCTTCATGTAAGGATTTTTTTTGTATTTTTGCATATTTCATTTTGATATATGATTGAATGTTGTGATTAATAATAAAGGTGTTCCTTCCTCCATTTCGTAAGGCGGATGTGTATAGGTGCCGGTCTAATATACTATCATGGGCAAAAAATAGTAAGACTTTTTAATTTACATTTTTGGCGCCAAAACACATTATGATTATTGGTGACATCTGTGCTGTGATCTTTTGTCACATCAAAATAATTATTAGTAAATATTTCAGAAACTGAGAGACAAGTTGGCGCATATACAGACACAGGCTGATCCATTTTATATTGGGTAGTCGAAAAAGAATTTTCGTATTTCTAATCAAACTTCAACTTATTTTTTTTTTTATATTTATGATGAACTTTAACGAAACAAATATATATCATTCTGGTCGACCACTTTTTGTCATTTTTTCGCTAGAGACATTATTCCATCAGTGTAAAACTCTTCTGGTTCTTCGGCGGAAAACTGCGAMAAGTAATTTTCACAGGCTTCTCTTACAGCCAACTTTACTCCATTAAGGTAGTTCTGCATTGACCGAAACAAATGGTAGTCCGATGGTGCAAGGTCAAGGCTATATGGTGGATGCATCAAAACTTTCCAGCCAAACTCTTCCAGTTTTTGCTAAGTCAACAAAGCTGTGTATGGTCTAGCGTTGTCCTGATGGAAGACGAAGCCCTATCTGTTGATCAGTTCTGGTACATTYTTTTGATTGCTTGCTTCAACCTCATCAGTTGTTGACAGTAAAATGTAGAATCAATCGTTCGACCAGGCTGGAGCAGCACATAGTGGATGATTMCTTTCCAATACCCCCAAACACTCAGCATAACCTTTAGAGGCGTCAATACTGGCTTCGCGACCATTTCTTGAGTTTCACCACGCTTGGACCGTAATGTCTTTCGCAAATTATTATTGTATTTGGTTCACTTTTCGTCTCTTGTTTCAGCAAAGAATCGCAGATGTTAATTGGATCCATTAAATTTTTTACACACAATTCATGTGGTACTCAAATATCGAACGCCTTTTTGCATCCAGTCTTTTTTAAATGGTTTAAAACCGTTTGATAATGATTATTCAGATCCTTGGCTGCTTTTATGATGGTCCTGGTCAATCTTTTCCATATTTTCATTCATTTTTTCAACGATAAGTCGACCAGAGTAACGACATCTATTGACAAAATACGAAAAGACTTTTTCGACGAAACTATACATACATATATATTATAGTGTCTCCAAATTTTGTTTCAGCTACCTGAAGTTTAGATTTCAAGGGATGGTAGGGATGACACAATACAACAAAAATGGCGATTGGCTACTGAGTTGTTTATAATAAGGATGTTCACCGGGCGTTCAGTAAAGTTTGAAGTACTAATATAAGCTAAAATTACTCATTTTAAATACGTTTCACTGTAGTTGCACTTTATATGCATCTTTATTTAAAGAGATAATTTCTTGTTGACCATATATGTAGGTATGTAATTGAGATTCTATTCGTAAATTCATTGCGTAAATGCGCGTATGCGCTTTTTAATTGCATATTGTATGTATGTGAACGTATAATATATCTATATATGTACATATATATCTRWTTTTATACATATGCATATATTATACATACATATATCCTACACAATAACTACATACATTTCTCTCAGATTTTTAGTGGCAGGTGCATTGTTTATGAATAAGTTTGCCTTCTGGAATCAACACAGCCGGCATAAATATATGCTATATATTTATATACCTAAGTTGCCCACCATGGCGTGAGCTGGCTGAACAATGACTATGTTCATGTCAATAAACTCTTCGCAAACGCGCAAAGACATGCTAAAAATTCACAAATCATTCACACATACATACATACATACAAACATCATAGTCATCAGACGCTGCCTGCTTCGCGTTACCTTTGCCGTAATACTTTTTTAAAGCGCAGATTTGAGAAAAATTTAGTTAAGTACAGTATATATGTACATATATAAATAAACACGCAAGCCCGTTCGAAAGGGCTGCCAGCTGTTGGTAGCGCGCTCACGCTTCAGTTCGATTGAGTTAGAGCGCAAGCGCAACGACTTTTTTCGCACCTACCAATGTATGTATGTTTGTATGTGCTCGGCAAGAAGTTCAAAGCCATAAGAGCCTAGAGCGGTGTTTTTATTTTGATTCTTTCGCTTGAAGAGTAATAAACGTGGACTYGTACCACCGTCGTAAAATAGCTGTGATGGCTCATGTGATCAGAATACATATTATGGAATGTGTCGATAGCCGGCATCCCGATGATAAATTCTACGGCTACATTTGTAATTATGTCTGTGAAGTACAGAATTATTTCAATTGTGAGATTCAGAGACATACAGTTAATGAGGCGCATCTACAATGCTCGTAGCGGTGACTGCGCGTACCACGTCGGTGATTTTTTTTACCTTCCGCACTTTGGTAGATGGCTTTGCAGGCACATTGACTGGGCTGTGGTCAGGCAGCAATTGGCCAAGTGCCATAAGCAAACATTTGAATAATAAAAAAGAGGAAAAGAGGAGGGAGAGAGAGGAGCTGTCCATTAAGTGAAGTGGCAAACTTACATACACATATGTATGTACATATATACAGTTGCTGTGCGTACTGTATGTATGTATGTATGTATATGCAACTAGGTATGTGTGTCGGTTCGCGCGCATATGGAAATGTCTATAGCTCATATGCCTAGGTGTGCGCCAATATAGTTTGTGTGGATCCCGAGACGAGAACAAGCAGCACTAACCAAATACGGCAAGAAATGTGCTTATAGTGAATTTTTCATAAAAATTTATAAACAATTTCTGCATCTCCACAGTACACGTTGAAAGTGAAGCGCAATAAGAAAAAATAATAATAAATAATTGCATTAACGGTTCGAACAATCAGATTTAAACCGCATCATTGATTAGTGCTGCACAGCGTCAACTCCTTAATACCCATATAAATAAGCTGTGACATTCTACGCTAGTTGATAGTCGAGAAGCTGCTTTGATCTTGAAAAGTACTACATCCAGCCGGTTGCTACACTTAAGCACTAATCAAAAAATAAATAAAATACAAAATAAAGATGAAGCTGCTGTTGTTTACAGTGTTGTTTATACTTTTGGCGAATRTTGCGGAAATTTGTTCCGGTTACTCATGGCCCCTCGCGAAGGCCATTAAGGGTTATCAGCAAGGGGTTAGCGGCTATTATGGCACTGATTATGGCTACTACGGCGGCGCTTACAGTGGGCATAGGCAATATGGCTACGATCAATATGGACGTGATAGGCGTGGCAATAATCGTCGCACTGGACGCACCTTTAGCGATATAGCACGTGTGGTCAATCCGCAACCATATGCATTTGTGGGCGCGAGGCCATACCCAGGACAACCGTTCAATCCGATCGGATAGTTAGAAAAATGGCGCTGATTTAGATTAAATTGTGTCTTGTGATATGAAAAATGTGTATTAAGAAAATAAAGTGCGTAGTGCTTGATAAGAAAAATATTTTGATGTGATTTACTTAATGTGGTTATTTGTGGTTTCTCCCGACCTTGAAATAATTGCCTTGTGTTTATTTGCAATTATACATATATGACTCACATACACATATGAAGTAATTATTCTGAAAATCATACAACCGGAAATAATCAAATAAATAGTAAAAAAATAATAGTAGGAAGAAATATAGTAAAAATTAAAGAAAATTAATTTACGGGTGCGAGATAAATTTAAATTTAAATTCATTATGTGAAATGCTTAGACAATCGCGACTTAATTAGAAAACAATAAGCGAGTTCGGGAAGTATTTACTAAAAGTTTTCTTAAGAAGTTATATGGATTTCCTCGGGTAAACAACAACATTTTTTCAACAATTTTTTTCTCATATAAAAAATGAAATATTTTACGAATTTTTTAAGTTTTACAAACATAGACTATCACTTTGAAATTCTTGGAAAAACATATTTTAAATTCGGCCATTGCGTCGCCATTTCCGGTTACTCCTCAAAAGAAAGATTCGCCAGTGTTCTTTTTATGCATACATATATGTATATATTTTTTGATGATTAAATACTTGTGAAAGGCAGTTGCGCCTGGAGTAGAATTTTTTTGTTAAGCGTTTCACCTGAAATTCCCTTTTAACCAATTTTAAAAATTCCAAAAGGTATCTCWTCAACAACAATTTTTTTGAACTCTGTGAAAGGTCTCGATATTGATATCAATGGCCTCAACACCCGCGCCGTTAGTTCTGATTTCTCCAGACTGGACAAGGAAGAAACACAAATGGGTCTGACAGTGAAGGAAGGCAAGACGAAATATCTCCTGTCATCCTGTCGTCTCACTAGCGACTTGGTACTCACGTCACTATTGACAGTCATAGCTTTGAAGTTGTAGATAATTTCGTCTATCTTAGGACCCGCATAAACACCAGCAATAATGTCAGCTTGGAAATCCAACGCAGGATAACTCTGCCAACAGGTGCAAGCAAAGTCCTCTCTCGACAAACAAAAACCAAACTCTATAAGTCACTCATAATTCCCGTC